GGAGAGAGTGAGTGTGTGTGTCTATATCTACATTAAGATATGAATGTAAGATAAAAATAGATGAGGAATGTCTGGCTCATGGGCCCAATGCAAAACTCCCAGTCTGGACTTCTAGATTCTTCCCCGGCCATGCCCATTTTCTTGGTTCCCATTACAATTTTTCCTCCTCATCATCAAGGGTTAAACCTAGCACAGATTAAGGAAAGAGAATTTTTTCATTTTTTAAAGGATGTTGCATTCTGAATAACGACTGGGTAGTTCAGTGGCTTTTTAAAGGATGTTGCATTCTGAATAACGATTGGGTAGTTCAGTGGCTTAGGTATGTGGTTGCAGAGCCAGAGTTTGGGAGTTTGATTCTCCTCTGTGCATCTCAGAAGAGCCAGTCTGTGTGACCTTTAGTAAGTTGTACAGTCCCAGAGCAGCCCCAGAAGAAGGGAAGGCTAAACCACTTCTGAGTACTCTATATCTAGGAAACCCTGAAAATGATCGCAGAGCAGCCCCAGAAGAAGGGAAGGCTAAACCACTTCTGAGTACTCTGTATCTAGGAAACCCTGAAAATGATCACTATAAGTCGGAATCAACTTGATGGCACACATTTATTATTATTACTGAATAATGGAAGAATAACATCCATAACACTTGGGGTCTGCCTCCCCCGCCCAAGCTTTGGCTCTTAACATGCCTACTGCTGGAGTATGGATTCCAGTGAATTTTGCCCAAAGTAATACCGACCTTGACCTAACAATTAGCTCCACTGGATTAAATAAAATAATAATATATCCCAGAGGTTGCATTTAGATTTTTCTTGCTTCAGACTCTTAGGTATCAGAATTTTAATTCATCTTTTAAACTCTTAGTTCAGAATACTTTGGGGCCCCTAGTAATGAGTTCTGTTCTTTGTGATCAGTTTGTCAGTGTGTCCTTTTCTTCTCCAGTGACAAGAAGAGAAAGTCAGAATCCACCATGGGACCAAAACAGGAGAAGAAATTCAAGAAAAATATCCCAAAGCAGAAGTGGAAGAAATGATTAAAAAAAAAAAAATTAACATGCAGACTTTGAACTCCTGTTTTGCAGGAGTCTGATTTCTTTTCCAATGCAAATGACTTCAAGCTAAGAAGAAATCATACCTGCCAATGGAAAGGCCTAAAGGTTTTTTAAAAATAATAATACAGAGGCAGCCTTGGAGCAATATAGCTGGAATATATATATATATATATTTATTGCTGCCAGCTCAGCATTAGTATGATGTTGAAAGGAACTGTGGAATAGCAGGCTGGATTGTTACCAGGAATCCTCTCTCTTTGCTGTTCAACCCTGCAAAACCTCTTTTGTTCACCTAAGAGACCTATAAACATCATTCCCTCCTCTTTATGATTTGTTGTTTTTTGCTAGTGATTTTGGAGGGAGGCCTGGCCTCACGGCTGTGTGTGTTATTTTTAATTGAAACCTGGTATTTTAGACGTTTTAAAACAATGAAGTGTAAAACATTCTGTATGATTTCAAAATGAGCCAGTTACTCTCTGCATACTTGTTTTACACTGTTGGATTTGAGAATCTAAACGCACCAGCATGAGGGGTTGAAAATATTGTTTTTACCTTTCTGTACTCAAGAGTTTTGTGGTCAGTTCTGAATGTTTTTAGTATGTGGACTGTCTGCTGGTACTGTGTAAACTGGAGGATGCGGTGAGGCAAGAATTACTATTTCCACATCCCATTTCTCAACTTGTGCCCTATTTGCTTTTCATTATGTGGTGCACAAAATCCCAATGTACTGTGAGTATCATATTACACAGTGCATCAAGGAAGAAATGGCCAGAATTTGTGCATGTTGTCCCAGGTACCAGCTTTTGGAGAGAAGGGCAGTGATTGTACCCAACTGAGCTTCACCACCAGCGGGAGCAATTAGAGTCAAACAGTTGTCACACTGTTGTGTGACTTACCTCTGTTTTCATGTGTAGTGCGTTAGAGGTATCACTGGGTGCCTATCTCTTTGTAGCTGCAGGAACCTAACTTGATACAAAATAATTGGAACCAGAATTGAACTCTCTGAAAATATCCAATTCTCATTGCCACTGTTTCAAGTTCTTAGTCCTGATGCCTCTGAAGCTGCAAAATGTCTCAGCATTTCCTTAGTGCCTGGTGAAATATCAATAGTTGGACAAAAACTATGAGGAAATGATGTGATAGTCCACTACCATGCTGTGAGGGGGTGGCCTCAGTGATCTTTATGGCACTATCTTGCTTTATGGGTACCATTCTCCAGGCGTTACTGCTTTTCCAGGTAAGCATCTAAAAATGTTAAACAACATGATGATAATTGCGAGAAGAGAATAATACATTTAAAATTAATGGATATGTTAAGAGTGGTAAATTGTTTTGTCTTCTTTGCATAGTTTTTGGTCTGTTGCAGACGAGGAAATGCAGTTTTGAGGATCCTGAGCTATGTGTGTATGTGTGTTTTTGTTGGCCAGCTCAGCTACAGCAACACCTCTTACTCTTCTGTGCATTTGAAGCATATTTTCCAACTCATTTTAGCTTGAACTGAATCATTTTCCCTTGGCCTGAACTATTTAGGAACTGAGATCTGGCTTGCCAAGAGGGAGGAACAGGTTTGCTGAGGATTAATTAGCCATGCCTGCAACCCTGAGTGTTCCAAAACACTCAAACCACCTAATCATACAATTAGCTTATAGTGTGAGATTTTTTTCCAGGTTTCTTTCAGTTTTGTGGCCTTTTACCTAGGAGTTGTAGTAGCTAAAAATTCTTCCCCCAGGGTTTCCCTTCAAAAATGTTGAGAATTGTGAAATTACAACTTCAAAGGAAAAATGCTTAAAGCTCCACATCCCTAGGCCTACACGGTGAATATAAAACTGATGTGTGTCTGCAGGAACATGAAGCTGATGATACAAGAACTAGAAGCGGCAACGCAAGTGAGTAGTGGTTTCAACAAAACAACCGTCTTTGGTCATCCATTTCCTTGACATTTCCCCAAACAGCAGCAGTTCATAGAAATGCCTTCTAGCTCCCTGTGTACCCAACTTTTCAAGCTATGGTAGACCCAATTACATGAGTGTCTCCATTAACAATGGCATGCTATCACATGCTTTTAATGTCAAGTTCTTGTATACTGTCACAGTTTTGGCACAGCTAGTTCTAGATTGTCTATTTTGAGAAGTAGCAGCCCTTTGAAGTTTCAGAAAGAGATATTTCTCATCCCTCTTCCCCCGCCCTCCAATCTTAAGTAGAAACACTAAAGAATGAGAAATGCCAAGGAGAAAGAGGACATGAGGGTGAGTGGATAGCAGCCTTAACTGGAAGAAAATAAGAAAGGTGACTTCTAAATGGAGTATTGGAAGCTCAACATAGTGCAGTGGACTGGTCCAGACTCTTCACTTTTGTTCATGAAAAGAGTATCTTATGTAAAGGAGCCTATGTTTTATCAGGAAACTCTACCAGCAAATTAAGTACAGTAGTGTGATGCAAACTTTTTAACTTACAAAAGTTAAACCATTAGTTTGGGCCAGAGATTGCTGCCAGAGGCAGAACTGATATAGCATTCACCTTCACAAGTCAAAAGTGCTTGCTACCGTAGATTGTGTTACTTTCACACTTGAACAGAAAAGAACCATTATGAGTTTCTTGTAAGTTAAAAAGTAAAATAAAATGAATTATTTGTTGCCTTGTCATGACACCTGAGCCAGCTGCCTAGAGGTGTAGTTGCTTCAGGCTTTCTAATGGCATAGCTGGCCATGGCCTGGTGGCAGAGACAGCATTGCCACCTTATTAAAACCGAGGCCTTCATCTTTGTGAGTGTTTGCTAAGGCTGATAAAAACTGGAACACACTCTCAGGCTAGGAAAATTTATTAAAGAGAAATTTTTTAAAAAAGATACGTGCTAGACTGGGACCTATTTTTTTAAAAGTCAGAAGAGGGTGGGGAATGGGAAATGGGTCTGCAAGCAAAGGGATTCAAGTAGAAGGCATCATGGTAATAGAAAAAGGAGCAAGAATATACTATAGAGCATCTGCACAGATGCACAATACATAGCAGAAAAGGCAAGATTAATTAAGAAAAATGAACGGGATGAGGAAAAATATTGTGATATGAAGGAACGAGGCTAGAGAGGGGCAAATTATTGAAGTACAGAAAATGTGTTGGATGAAATGCCTTATTGTTGTCCTTGAATGGGTATAGGGTGGGAATCTAGAAGTATTTTAACAGAGGCCTATTCCAGGGTTACAACATCTGTGAAAATTAGGTTTTACAAGGTCTAGGAGAAAAAGGCTGTTTTGGGGATGCTCTTGTGGCTCGTTTTGTCATTAACTGGAGAAAATAATGTTGCACTACAAGGCTTTGAAGGGGGAGGGGGTTCTTGGGAATGTGGAAACCAAGATTTTCATCTGCCAATAGCTTTAAAAGATTTTAAATGAAGAGCATTACAAATCTGTTTCATTGTTCTGCCAAGTTGGAGCTGTAGCTCAGTGTTACAATACCCAAGAAGGGTCGGCAAATCAATGTTATAGCCCATTACAAACTCAGAGGGGGAAGCTTGTGATGTGGTTTTGATACGGTGGGTGGTGGTAGTTCAGAAATCGGGAATGGATAAAGACCCTTTCTTTTCTTCCCCATAGACCTTCCCTTGTAGTAATATATATGTAAATCCCATGAAATATTACAGCCTCAGACTTGATCATATTGCTATCTATGTGCTGGAAAGTGTGGAAGGAAGATGGTTCCTCTTTTACCTATCCTTTGAACCTTACAGCACTATCCACTAATCCTTTCAGCCTCTCACCCCGCACAGACATTGTATGTTCAGTATTCAGATGTCTGGGAGCCATACACATCATTGCTCAGACTTTGGAAGGCACCATTTGAAGAAAAGAAAAAGCCAAAGACATCACTCAAACCTCCCGTCTCTTCCATTTTCTTCCCTTTTCTCAGTAGAGGCCCAGGCATTCTGTATCACAGTTACTCAATCATAGCCTTAAATTGATAGACTCAGAGACTGACCATGTTCATTTTAAATCACTTTCCCTTTTTTCCCCTCTAGATTCAAGCAACACCCACATTCTGGAACAATCTAGGTTCCTGCCATGCCCTTTTAGAATAATGTAAACAAGATTTGTTTCCTTAAAAACACACACCAGAACTATGAACTGACATGTGTCTGTGTGCCTGGAGGAACCTCTATTTTCCCTAATACCGTAAACATGGTGGAGCGTGTAGCTTTCCAGTGAGTAGGATTTCAGCCAACCAACATTGCCTTTCTCCAGAATACTCCATTTTTTCATCCAGTTTTGCCCTATTAGATAGACAATAGTCAGTGGCTGCACAGTGTTCTAAATGTGCTCTGTACAGTACTGACAATTGTTCCCTGTTTTTGTAGTTTAAATAGATTATTTGTACTTTTTCAAACCTTGGGAATGCCAAAATAGATGACTATCCCCCTCTGGTTACCCATGGGCCCTGTTGTTTCTATTCCTGTCAGTGGTCACTACCTGATTTTGCTATAATTAAATTATATATATAATGAGAAGTGGCACCAATGCCTTAAATGCAGGTTAAATTTCTAGTAGTTAAAGAAGTTTCCAAGTGACAAGGAACACAGAGAGATTTCTCCAAGGTTTTGCAGTTTCTTGTTTTCATCAGCAGGCCTGTTCCCCAAAAAACTATATTCTAATTCAGCATTCAAGACACTTTACATGATCTTATGGGTCCTGTAGAACATGTGTGCCAGTCAAAGGAGGTTGAGGCAAAGGTGCTTCCGTTAGCCAGTGGCTCCGGCTGCTTTGGATGCAATTGGATCCCAAGTTAGCAATAGTTTTAAATTGCTTTCAAATGCATCCTTTGGCCAGTGCTGACGGCTGGGTGTAATGGACACAGATGTTCTAGTTTTATGGACTCTGCAACTTGCTTGCCTTTAAACAAGAGCAATAGAAAGTATTTCCTTGTGTGTACCATTGTTTGATGGTCGTAGGCTCTATCTGAAAACCTTACATTTATATAATATGAGGGACAAAAAACTTGGTGAATGGAAAGATAATTAAAATCCTGCAGCTTTAGGAACAGTTCTTATAAGAGAATGTGTGCTGGCTAAAATGCTATACTGATGTAGAAAGGAAATATTCATCTTAAAGAGTTTAAAGTAATTTCTGATGGTGTTAACGTCTGTGCCTCCCATTCATTGCAGCTTGTTAATTCTGTGCTGCTGCGGGTTGCCAAAGTGAGGTTCCTCTGGTTATTAAACCTGGAGAAACCACCAGTAATAGTGAAGTGCATTGTTAAAATTGCCACTCTGGCTTGGCTTGACCTGGCTTCTCTGTCTTTTTCAGTATTTTAAATAGTCTACACTATCTGTACAAAGTTTTATATTTATTAATTTTGATGTTTTCACTGTTGTGTTTCTGTCTTTTGAAACATTTGATACTATTGATGTTATGTTTATCTGTAAATCCTTGAGCCATCTTGTCGTGCATCTACTTATCGTGTAGGCTGAAATACTGTTGCTTAGTGTAGCGTGTTCTGCTAGACTAGACCCGTTGGATCTTTGAGGATTTGGTGAGTCAACTCCTTTGTAAGTTCCGTCGATTTGAATGAGCCTACTCTAGTGCCACTTGCTATGCTAAGCAATAGGATTGCAGGATTATTGTGCAGTATTTGCACGTGTAACAGCAATTTTCTTTCCCTGTCTTTGCTTTCTTCTTTGCTATTATCCACAATAAGCCCCCTTTCTGTTGTTGTTTTTACAGTGGACCCTCGACTTACAGACGGCTTGACTTACAGACTTTTTGAGTTACAGACTTCTCTGGCCGCAAAATTTAGGTTTCACTTGCAGCCTGAGAATTGACTTGCAGACCAGAAAAAAACCAAAATGGAACAAAAACGGCCTGTTACGGGATTAATCGGTTTTCAATGCACTGTAGGTCAATGGAGACTTGACCTACAGACTTTTTGACTTGAGAACCGCCTTCCAATACGGATTAAGTTCTCAAGTCAAGACCCCACTGTAGTTGTTGTTTAATAAAACAGAGGAGAAAGCAAGGGCCTCTTTAGTCTCCAGAGGCACTGGATGAACAAACAGGTTCATCTGCTTCTCACACATGTGCATATAAGGCTGACTTACTGAGTGGGCAAATTCCATTCTTAAAAATCTCTCCATACAGTTGGCCTGGGAAATCCTCAGTAATCTGAATGTTTTGGACTACAATTCCCATAATCCTTTGCCATCGGCTATACTTCCCATGGTTTCAGGAAAGTAAAATCTGAAAAATCTTCAGAGCCAACTAAGCTAGATTAAAACAGGCTGTGTCAAGTTTAAGATACCGTAGTCATAATTCTGTGTCCTGAAGCTGATTCCGGCTTAGGGGGAGACTCCCCTTGCCCCCTGGTTTTCTGGAAATAAAGTACCCGGTGGTTTTTCCAATCCCTCCATTTGATAGGGCTTTGGAACTGTGCAGCTTGTCCAAAGCGACACAGGTGGCAGGGCATGTAACACATCCTCCCGGTGATTCCGGTTGGACCCTCTTCCAGGAGATACACTTTGCTCCACAGCCAGGTGCTTCAGTCTACTGAGCTAAACCAAAGCATGGCTGCAAAGTGTTCCATGTTTTAGCAGATTTTAAAAAAAGTTTAATCTGTGTGGGTGATCATGCATAATACTTGGATGCTCTAAAATATAGTTTACATACATCACAAATAAGGCTTGCACTGAAGACCAGAGGTGCCCTTCCCTTGCAGCAGGAAAATACATCCATATTTCACATGGATTCTTAACCTTAGAAATACTTTGGAATTGCACTATTGTCTGCTCGAAGCATTTACTGCATGAAGATGCCTATAGTTTCCAAACAGCAGAAAAACATCTGTTCAAAGCTTTCACACGGTGAGTTCTGTCTTCTTAAGGGTTCATTTGTGCAGGAGTCCCACGTAAGCCTTTTGTCTGCATAATGACAGAAATTTTTGCTATCTCTGTAATTTCGGTGCAAAGATTAACCAGCAGAGGGAACTCCAATACTCAGTCTAAAAGGCCATCAATGAAGCTGAAAAACCTTTCAAGGCCCTTCACTCTTTCTCCATTCAGAACTGACAATTCATTTAGTAAGGCTGGCAAGGCAACATTTCAATCTGTTATGGGCCATCATTCCCATGGGTTGGAGCACCACTTGTGAATGAGTGGTTCTGGAGGGTGCCTGAGCCGGGCTATTAAAACGGGGGTGGGGGATTCCCCTGCCTCCTTGCTGGGGATGATTGAATGCTCTGGCTAATTGGGAGTAAAATAGCCCAGTGGTACAAATCGGGTGCAGTTCTCAGCAGGGGGTGGGAGGGGATGTGACCTAGTTGTCACTATGATAATGCCTCTGCGCCAGAGATCTTTGGATGGTTTTGACAGCTGGCAGCACCTCTCTGACCTGTGGGAGAGGCGGTAGTCCAGAAGGGCATGTTCCAAAGCTGGTGCTGTTGCGTGGAAAAGGAGAAACCCTTCTAGAACCTGATCAACTCCGGCCAGAGATGGGAAAACTTGGAAACAGTGCAGAAGAAAATCACCGCTTGGTGGGGCATGAGGGCAGTGTAACTGAAGGATGCAAGGAAGAGATGTGGCTGCCAGTTGCCATGTATTTTTCCCAGTGCTTTCTGATGTCGGCTCGTGTGTTTCAAATAGGATGAGTAGATCCCCTGAGTCGTGACAAATATGACAGGTTCCATGGACTGATTTGTTAAACTAGGGAGCCTTGCCCCAGCCCCCTAGTTTAAGGGCCAGCCCTACTGTTAGACAAAGTAAAGCATCTGTCCCAGTCAACAGATGCTGGGATAGATATATTGGGAATCCTGACTTTGCCCACAACAGGACTCACAGCTGTAGAGGGACTCTACAGGTGAGCAATACTTCAGGTTTGGAACATGAGTCAGTGGCATACACAAGAGACATAAAAGGCAACCTTGTTTTATCAGGCCTAAGACAAATTGCTCCTTTTGTTCCCCATCCTGGGCAGCCCTCTGTAGCCTTAATATCTAGTGATTTTAAAGGATATCTGATCAGGGAATAAAGATACACTATGGGAGGCTGTTTTGGCAACTCTGGTGCTACTTTTGCCCATGGGGTCTGACCTTCAGAGTCACTGCACAGCCTTTTATTCATTTTCTCTTACTACTCTGTTGAAGAGTGTGAAGGCATACCTGCCTAGGTTGTATGGTTCCGGTTAACATGATGAGCCCAAAGGTCACACCCAACCTCTGTCCTTGCTTCCCATCTGTCCTTCTTATTAGGGCCCCAAGCAGTTTCTCCTCTAATACTGGCAAGAGTTCTGGGCCCTATCGGTGACCATCCGGCTTCTAAGGGAAAAGGAGGGGCTGGTTGTCTGGGTTTCCTAGGGGATGTGCATGTCAGTGGAAGCTCATTTAGTAGCTGCATTATGTAGTGTCAGCTAAGGCCCCTGGTGGATAGTGTGTGCTTTCAGCTTGGGGCAATGAGTGACAACCCGGCAGATGACATAGGATGCCTTTTTTTTGTTTCTCTTGTAGACGACTTAAAGTAGTGGGAGCAAAACTGATATCACGGTGCATAGATCATTGTTACTTAAAAGTAATCTGGTTGGGGCTCCTTTAAAACTGTTTTTGCTTGTTCTTTTTAAAAGAAATGGCTCCTATGTAATTCAAAAATGATGCATCACTCAGATGACAGTCATTTAATAATGAGTGGCGGCAATAGGGCCCTTTGCAACTTAGCTAAGAAAAAGACAGCACTGACAGACAGCATCTTATCATCTCTTTGGAATATAAGGACTGTTATATTCCTCCTTCTCCAAGTGGATGCAAGTGATAATGACTACAGGTTCAAACTGGAGTGTGGAAAAATCTTCTAAGCACCAGAGTCTTACCACAGATCCTCTGAATTGTAGCTAGGAAGTTTCTTTGGAACCATGCATTGATTTAAACATACTGCACATAAAAAAACCCAGTGTTATTCACTGGGGTGTTAAGGACATGGAGTAACTATGTAATGCCACCAGCTAGGAATAGGAATTACTTTTGTAAACTCTGAACCTGAATTCCTCACTTAAAGTTACTCTGCCTTTCTGCAAAATGGTATAACCACTGGTGAATAAGGTATTAATACAACACCACAGTTTCAAAGTGATGTTTTGTACCTACAGCCCTTGCTGTTTGCTCCCATCAACAATGCTTGAGCACAAAACATAGACCAGCACCTTACCTAAGAATGTACAGGAAACACCGCACAGTAGACACATTGTATCATTAATACTTCCTGAGCCTTGCTAAAATAACAGTTTATACCATCTCTAAAGTTTAACAAAGTTATGTTGTTAATAAAATATGATACATTTACATTGGTGACAACATTAATGTACAATTAATGCAGTAAACAATATTACAGCAGTACAACAGAATCTCTCTATATATATACACATATATATCTTTGTACAGATAGCTGAAACAGCTATTTGAAAATTATTTTCCAGAATTACATATTCTTGGGGTATTCCCAGAAAAGCTAGTGAGTCTTCTGTGGTTTGGAGACTGTGAGGTCATGTGTACATTTCAAACCCAAATTTTAGAAAAGTGCATAATTGGGAGGGGTAAGAGCATCAGCTGGCCACCTGATTGAATAATTAAATGTGTACAGCTTCTGTGCAGGCACCTGTGCCTCAGATGCACTTGTGGGTTGCCTTTTTCGAATTCTTTGAGCTTTGCTTTGTGACGTTTTAGGACCATGTGACCGTAGCATGCTCTGCAGAATGGGGGAGCTAGATCAGCTTTTTAGTGAAGATGTAAAGAGCCCAGTGACAAGCGTTAAGTGTAGGAAAGGAGGCTCTTCTCAGGCATAGCAATGGCGTGCGTTTCCTATTCTCAAATCTGATGTTGATTATTCAAAACGGGATTTAACTCACAGATAATCTTCCTCGAACAGCTGACTAAAAATGAATTGCTACTGCCCATTTAACACATAGCTAAGATAGTTGGATGGGGGGGGGAGAAATCTGATTGTGGGAAACTCATGCTTTCACTTCTACAATTTACACTTGCATCACTTTTATAACACTTTCACCATCTTTCTGGAAACCCTACAAATAAACTTGTAACATGCATTTATCTCCTGATCCTTCAAACTTGGTCTTTCTCTCTACTCTTTTACTCCTCCGCTCAATTTACACATCCCTTCATAGAAGCATCTTTCCCTTGAAAAGTTCCCCACAAATAGTGAACCTTGAGCACTTTGCATAGTCGGCATAGTGTATCAGGTTTCAAATATTATTCTTAAATTATCCTCTCCTACTGACTGCAAAGCTGACAGTGACCTCTAGCAAAATCTTAGGTATTAAGAAAAGGTAGAAGCTTGCTTCCTATTTTGGATAATTCTGAGTGTCACAATCTCATTGATTGAGGCCTTACAGTGGAAATCTAGTTACAAACAAGCAGTGAATGTCCAACTAATTGTACACGAAAATGGCAGAGGATGGACATTTGAAGGTAGCTCCATTACAGGAAGGCAGCTCAGACAGACTGTCTACAGCCTGAATGTACTCCTGATATAGGCCAGCAGCTTCCAGCCCAGCAAATGAGATGCAACTGTAGGCTTGTTTAATTCACAAATCCGACTTAGCTGGATTTGGAGGTATTGATGACTCTCCAAGAAATAACGTTCACTGCATACAATTCCCAGTGGCACAAGAGTCAATATGGGAAGCACAGTGTCATGAATTTCAGGAAATTATTGCTTAAATACAGCACAGAGAAAACCAAGCTCCAGCCCTTTATTCCTAAACAGTATTTCCACAGTATTAGGAGAAATTCTGGCCTTGCAGCAGTGAATATTGCTGGCACCACAGTGTGACGGTCATAGCCAGATTAACTTGAGCAGAGCCAAAGAGTTTGATCATTTTTTCTTTAAACTGCTTGTAAGGGGTATAACTAAAAATGAATGTAATTTAATTTAGACTCTCTTATTCAATGGCACGTTATTTGAACCTTTATGGAAACCAGTTTTATAGCACAATCCTCTGCATTTCTCCTTGAAAGTAAATTCCACCGAATTCCCTGGGATTTAATTGCATGTAAGAGTTTCAGCCTCACTCATGGTAACCACGTTATAGAGTTCGTATGTCTTAATGGGTAAACAGCCAGATTCCTTTATCATGTGACAGAGCAGTGTGTCAGGTTGTTTGTAGATATGAAACTTTAGCCCAATTTTCTCTATACCACAGAGCTTAGAAATAAATGGTTATATTAATTTCTGAGCTCTTGCTATGTAAATTTTCAACCTAGTTTCAAAAGTTGGTATTTAAATAGCTAGTCAACAAGAGCACTATGGAACTGGGTAATAAATAACATTTCACATTATTTCAAATCATCACTTTTGGGAAGTAATTTAAGGCTGCCCCTTTAAAATTATAGATATTTAATGATTTTAAATGAAAATTTTAGTGACAAGTTATTAGCAATTAGTGTCACTAATTAATTTGGTAAGTTTCACCTCAACTATCAATGTTAATGAATTAAATTTGTATCTATTAGTAGCACGAACATGTTAAACAAGAATGTTCCAACCTCTGATACACAAACAACATGACACACTAATATTTTGTTACTAGATCATATAGAAAAATGCCCCTAGCAGATTTCTATACTTACAGCTTCCTGTTAGCAGGACAACTGTGGTTAATAACTAAATGCCAGCTATGGTCTGTGTGTGGAGTCTTTTTATATATTTTGGACACACTGAGATGTAGTTTTAGTTAGGCCCCAAGTTCTCCTGTGACTTGGGTTTCATTCTGGAAGTGTAGGAACATATTCCTCAATAGTTTTCAGATGAAATTGCAGCAGCAGCATCACACACTCCTGAGTGATCCACTGTTCTGTAGTTACTTGCTGATGACACCGGTGGAGTGGAGAAGCTTTCAGCTCAAACTAGTGTCTGTAGAAGGGGAAGCTTGCAGTTCGGCTAGGTCCTGGTCTAGTGCAGTTAAGATGAGCAGGTGCTTTGACCAAAGTTCTCAGCTTTTCCTGGCAGGAGGTTGTAGTTCATCTTGGCAGTCACACCCTCGATGTGATGTAGATGGAATGAAGTCTGCTGGCCAGCGTGGATTGCAAATCCTGGAGGGGATCCAGACCCTGGACTTTACTATTCCTGCCATAGATGAGTTGCTTGAAAGTCTCTTGCTCCAGCAGAACATTCATGTGCTTGAGGAAGAAGCCTTCACAAAAAGAGGCCAGCTCTGGGGCATTGTGGATCTGTAAGACATATGGAGAATTTGGTCAAGCAAGAGAATTTGTATGCAGGTGTCAATTACCACCCTCTCTCCTTAGTCAGACAGATTCATCATGTAAGATTACTTAATCCCAGAAACAAATGCTTCAGAAGATGTTAACCCTGTGGTTAAAAGGTTCCTTCTGTTTTCTGTATGGCTTGTGTCTCTGGAGAAGTTCCACTGGGATGACTGACAGAGGGTAAAAAAGTCTCTCCCATTTAATCCTTTAAAAGTCTCCTCTTTTTTTTAATCCTTTTGTGATCTCCTGCTGCTTATTGAGCCAAAGTCAAGTAACTCTTAAAGGAAAAGAGCAGCTGGTCAACGAAATAGCCAAGAAGATACCTGTTTTGTTATGGGAGGGTGCAATCTATGTGGCACACCATGACAGAATAATGAGCGTTGCCAGATGGCACGTGGCATTAGCAGCCAAACAAATTCTGTGCATAAGTAATAAGTCTCAGGAAAGGAAAGGAAGAAAAAAGCAGAAGCGATTAAGGAAATGCATAGGGGCATCTCTATTATACTCACTGCTATTTTAGGATATAGGGCTTTTGACTTTTCATATTTTTTTCCAGTAGAAAAATATTTTCTAATTATTGCATTGTTTAAAATAAGAGTTAAGAAAATTTGAACATATTTCTTATGTTCTTCTTGTGCCGCACTCGCAAAGAGATGACACTAGAGTCAGAAAAATGAAGCAGAGCAGCGTCTCCCAGTCCTTAGAAGTAGAAGCTTCCACAAAGGCTCAGACATATCTGAATCATTGTTGCACAGTCTTTTGCACACCGGCCTCACCCCCTGACTGGGCATGAGGCGACACCAGTATGTTCGTGAAAGAGCCGTCATCTTGTTTCATAGTAAGATTCCTGTGCCTTTCATAAGGGACATGCTAGACAGATATTCAGCTGATCATAGCAGTACCGGGAGAAGCAGTGGCAAGGAAGAATGTCTACATGGCTTGCAGACATTTACCACGGCACAGAAACCTTGAGAGAAATAGATAACCAACTTTATTCAGGGCAATGCAATGGCCTATCTGTCAGTTTGCTCAAATCTGATAACCTTGTTTATTGCTGTAACAAAATGGGAAAGGATGCTCCTATCAAGCATGCTACTTCAGGCACCAACATCCTGTTGCTTAATGTGGTATATCACACTAGAATAGGGCCACTGAATCAGTGGGGATTTGGTGAGTCAACTCCTCAGTATGTTCCATTGATGCTAAAGTAAGTTGCAGTTAGAGTAGGCTCCCTTGAATCAATGGAACTTAGGGAAGAACTGACTCTCCCATTCCCCACTGATTCAGTGGCTTTACTCTAGTGTGATTTATCACACCAAGAAACACCAAGGATTTTGGTCTGTGTATTCTTACGATGGCACCCGTTACTCACCATTTGCAGGGAAGAAGATATGTGTAATATCTAGTTTCACAAGCAGCAGGCAAAATGATAAACCTGTGTCTTTAACTGCACTACTTCAGTCTACAGATGGGAGCCTATACTGAAAAACGACTCAGCCTTTACCTTAGCATATTTATAGATGTTAATGCAGGTGTCAGTGCTGATGGTCTGAGCACATAATATTTCACAGTGTCGCTGGAGGCCATCCAATTGGAAGAGGCTTGCAGCAGAGAGCAACTAGAGGGGATGACAGAAAAGTTGTTACCTTTATGATACCTCTGGTGCCATCACAGAACTGAGTCTCATCAGGTGACATACATAAAAGGTTGTTAAAAATACAATACAAGTATTTGTAGCATGAAATACCTAACCATTTAAGCAACAAACCTGAATACAGAGAGGGTTAAATTCTAAAAAGCCAGAGTCTCCATATCCATTTTTAAAATGCCATGAAACAGCTCATAAAAAGCTTGGGACGATAACAGAATGTTTTTGTGTGGTAGCAACCAGAACAGAAAGCAAGTAGTAGGAAGGTCTCTCTGAAGAGGGCATCCCATAACTAAGGTGTCATCACATAAGTCTCTGTTGCTTACCCCCGCTGAATATTGCTTGGCCACACACAGAGAGAACAGGTAGAGACATGGAAAGAGAGAGAATCAGGAGCTGCGGGAAAGGAGACATGGAGAAAGAGAAAAAAGAGAAAAAAAGAAGGGCCATGGACAGAGAAAGGGGAGTCATGCTTCCTTTTTCTTGCAGGCTACATGGGCACAATTTTGCATGGCAATGTCAGAATACTTCTTGGCATTTTAAACCATAGACACAGAAGCGATCTCCCACATTCATAAAACACAGTGTTGTTGTTTTTTTAAGGAAAATGTATTTTTGACCACCATTCATCTTTAGAGATACTAGGATCAAATACAAAGGGTACGATCAAACTGATTATATCAAAATAAAATACAATTACTGTATGTAGTAACACTTAGAGATACTAGGATCAAATACAAAGGGTATGATCAAACTGATTATATCAAACTAAAATACAATTATGTAGTAACACCCATCCCCTATTGATCTAAATTTTGAACAATAAAAAAAAATAGTGCAGCAATTCTACATATGGTACAATCCTTCATAGGACTGCAGACTGCGACAAGTTGTTTTAAAATGACCTTGTCAAAAAGATGTATCAGCTTTTGCCTGTAAAATGCTGGAGCCATTTAATAAATTATGCAGAATGACATGTGAGTTGGCAGTGTTCTGGAACTGTATTACTTTAGATTGCAAGTGTACATGTCGGTTATGGGTTTTAATTTTTTTCCCATTATCACTTCATCCATACAGAAATTTAGCACAGTAAGAAATGAGAATTAGTGTTGCTGTCTCCTTGAATGTACTAATTTTACCATGTAGGGAGCTCTGCATGGGAATGACTCAGATGTCTCAACACTATTTCAAACACAGCATATCCAAAACAGCACAATGTATCCTCCCTCCCAAGGTTAGTGATGCTTGATCACTCTTCATATCTGTCAGCAGCATTGCATTGATGATGCATCTAGCCTTTGCTTGATCTTGATATCTTCCCATCCTTTACTCAACAGTGCCCCATTTCTCCTTGGACTACATCACAAATATCCTCCCACTCCTTCTGAGTCTATCAGTTAAAACTCTGGCCATTCATCTTGATCCGTGACTTCTTCAGTATTCCCTGAATCAGTTTGTAAACTCCACAACCGAAATCACTGACCACATCTATTAGTCATACATCATAACCCCTCCCCAAAATTCCTTTTCCCTTTTTATTTTTTCACTTTATTTATTTGACTTCCATACCACCCACCTGGCTGCCAAAGCCACTCTGGGCAGTTTACAACACAGAACATAAAAGACAACAATTTAAGAACAGTAAACAAAATAACTATAGCAAATCTTCTGCTCATCGCTGCTGCTTTTTGCCACCCTCAACCTCTTAAAGGTCTCCTGCATTCTATTGTGATTTCATCTATTTCCCCCTGTAGATCTCTTTACATGGAAGTAAGGATGCCAAGAAATCAGGAGACTTGGGAGGGCAGCAATGAAGGAATTAGAAAAGATGATCAAGGGTAAGGATGTGTCACTGGACACCAAGTTCAAGACCATCCACACTACTGCATTTCCTTATCACCATGTATGGGCGTTAAAGCTGGACAATGAAGAAAGCTGACAGGGAAAAAAATGATTTATTTTAAATGTGAGACTAGATGCCCTGGACTACCAGAAAGATGAACAAATGGGTCGTAGAGCAAATCAAGCATGAACTGTCTCCGGAGGCAAAAATGTTGAAGATGAACTGTCTCTGGAGGCAAAAATGCTGAAGCTGTGCCTATCCAACTTCAGGCACATTATGAGAAAGCAAGATTATCTGGATAAGATAATAATGCTGGGAAAAGCTGAAGGCAGCAGGAAAAGAGGAAGAACAAATACGAGATGGATTGACTCCTTAAAGGAACCACAGTCTTGAGTTTACAAGAGCTGAACAGGGCTACTGATAACACATTTTAAGGCAACTTGAAGACAGGTAACAAAGAACAAAGGATGCAATGAACACTTGCAATTTTTCTCATCCTTAATGAAAAAGTGGATGAGAAAAGGGGTAAACTGGTGCAAGATTTTTTTCTCTCTATGAAAGTGAAAAACTAACATTTTTCATCAACAGCAACACTAGCAAAAGCTGAACAAAATATTTGTGTTTAAAATGTGCATTATCAAAATAATTTTTTTGTGTGCTCAAAATGTGTTTTCCTAGGTTGTCTATTCTTCCTTTACAGCAACACTAGCAAAAACTGAACAAAATATTTGTCTTTAAAATGTGCATTATCAAAATAAAAAATTTTTTTTTGCTCAAAATGTGTTTTCCTAGATTGCCTATTCTTCCTTAAAAATCCACCTATTCCTTTGTTTTAATTCATGGAATCTCTCCCCCTTTTAACTAGTTTAAGTACGTAAGCCTGCATTTATGCCCCATTCCATCTCTTTTCTTCCTCTGCCTGTTTTTCCATCTTTTTAAGGAAAAAGATCTTTCTTTCGTTTCTTACAAGCTTTTTAGATACTGTGAATTGTCTGTTTTTGCCAATGCTCTCCAGCTTTGTTGCACTGATGTCACTGTATAAATAGGTTGGGTTGTTGAGAATGTATGACCCTCCAGATGTTTTTGGACTTACTCAGCAGAGGTCATGTGTTGCCCAGCCCTGCTATAAGTAAGATTAAAGTTAGGATAATTAGAATTTCAGCCTTCAAGCAAAACGCAGCACAGAGGTGCTCAGCTGATATAGCCACTCCTAAGCAAACGTGAAGTCACGGTAAACTGGATGTTTGCAAGGCCAAGCATCCTTGTATTGTTCTATTTTGTAACGTGTAGAGAAAATTAAGCCCTTGCTTAGTATGATGACATTTTGAGTTTTTCCTCCTATCACTCACTAATGAGTGAGAATACACCTTGTGGTATGTTTTCTGATAAGTTTTCTTTAAGAAGGGGAGTTATACCTGGTGATGTCATTTCTAGCAGTTATCACCATAGTACTTGTGATGCAATTGTGAGCAATTGGCAGATACACGCTGGGGCCCACTGGGATTAAGGCATCAACACTTGTTGTTATTGTTTTACTGGGGTGGAGGCCTGGCTTTTAGCAGCGAACCACTAGACCAAATGGCGGTTTGGGGATAATGAAGATGGTGGCTGCTGTGGCCACTCCATTCTCATATCTCTGTGCTGTGCTGAATGCACCACCTCTTGTGAGAAGCTCAGTGGCTAATGTGCAATGTGAAGCAGCGAGGGCTTCCACCTTAATTTCCCAGGGAGACGTCCATCAGGCTAATGTTGGGATGAGGCCCAAAGAGCACCTTTATTAGCACTTCCTCTTACCTGGTGTTTACCATGTTTATTCTGCTACCCAACTGTACTCTTAAACTGAGAAGGGAGAATCATGTCATCTTGTGATTCCTTCCCAGGAAACAAATCACCCGAATGAACAATAGTTTGTCATGCTTTCCAATTGTAAGGATATGCTTGGAAAAGTGTGCTGGGTTTTTAGAGGCACCTGGCTGGCTCATTTTTGACACAGTACATTGAACTTTTGATCTGATCTATCAAGGCAGCCTTTCTGTTCTTAGCAAATGGCAATAATCTGTCTTGGGATTTATGCTAGCTTGCTTCTATTGTCAATAACAAAATGCAAATTACATCCACTTTGAATCTGTTTCAAATCTGCACCATGTTCACCATAAACCCACAGATAAACCAGTCTAATAAGCTCAAACATTTCTATTCATTCAGTTCCAGTGCCAAACCAACACTTTATATATGTTATAAAGTGTATAACATATATTCTAGGCTCAAACAAAAGGTCTTCTGTATCCTCTAACAAAGCTTTGTAGTGTGCTGTTTTCATTAGATAGTATGTATATTATATGGACACTCATTCTATCTTTTGGGAAATCATTTTTAGAACAGGACAGGCTTCTGTACCCGGAGAGCACCAATTCCACAGTAAAGAGATGCCATCAGTATTAGCTTGAACCAGTGCAGCAAGCCAGAAGGGCACTGCAAGAATATGCTCACCTCAAGGATATCAGAAGTAGGAATTTCCATAGATTCTGTTCCTCCATAATATAAATACTGCATCAGCATCTGAAAAAGAAACAGACAAAAAGCAGTGAGAAAGCTGAACTTCCACGAACTTCCAACTGGCTTTGGAAAGTGTGCAAACTCCAAATCGACTGTGGCCTGCTGGCTTGGCTCCTAGGACAGATACCACATGTATTACAGCACGTGGTAAGGAGCTCCTCACAACCTATTTAGTCTTATATTATAGTGATGGGCAGGCATGTGTAGCAAAGAGAGGATCAAATTATTATGACTACAGGTCAGTTCACAACTATATTCAATGGCTGAAATTCTGTTGCTTAGTGTAGTAAGTTCCACTAAAATAAGCCCATTGCAATCAGTGAAGATTTGGTAAACCAATTCCTCTGGAAGTTCCATTGATCCAAATGAACCTACTCTAGCTGTGCCTTATTTCAGCACAGGAAGTCACAACTAGAAGGGCCTATCTGAATCACTGGAACTTATGGAGCAATTGACTCACCTGATCCCCAGTGATGCAATCAACCTATTTTAGTGGAACAGAATATTGCTAAGTGATAGGATTTCAGCCACTATGTCTCAATTTTGCAAACTGCAATGTATCTGTAGCTTTTCTAGAAGGCCAACAAGAAAAGAAAAAAAACCACCAGTTATTGAAGAGAAAGCAAACAGATGTCACAGTTGTGTTGTTAATTCTATAGATTGTCACTTTTAGTTTTTCAAATTTTCCAACTTCTACACACTCCCTTCCTAAACTGGATGGACATACATACATACATACATACATACATACATACATACATACATACATACATACATACATACATACATACATACATACATACATACATACATACAGACAGACAGACAGACAGACAGACAGACAGACAGACAGACAGACAGACAGAGAAGAGAAGAGAAGAGAAGAGAAGAGAAGAGAAGAGAAGAGAAGAGAAGAGAAGAGAAGAGAAGAGAAGAGAAGAGAAGAGAAGAGAAGAGAAGAGAAGAGAAGAGAAGAGAAGAGAAGAGAAGAGAAGAGAAGAGAAGAGAAGAGAAGAGAAGAGAAGAGAAGAGAAGAGAAGAGAAGAGAAGAGAAGAGAAGAGAAGAGAAGAGAAGAGAAGAGGTCCCTGCATCCTTGATTTGACTAGGCTATGCTTTTGTGTGCCAAAACAAACTGTATGCCTTTTTCTTGACAGTCTACAAAGAGGTCATACAGATTTCTCTGTTTTTTTTAAAAAAGTTAATTATCTTAAGTGAAAATTTTCTCAGTAGAAAACTGTAAGGCCTTTATAGTATATAATTTCAGCAGTTAAAACATATCTAATACCATGTCGGCATCTTTTCTGGCTCTATTCACATTTAATTTGCTTAACTCAGCATGAAAATTATGCCTGAGAACTTCCAGAAGTCTTCAGTAACTCTTCACATAACACTGTTAAGGCCATAGAACAAGTCCAGTATGCAGCTGCTTATTAAGGACAAATATAATGTGTGAACTCAACAAGGATGGAAATAGCTGTCCGCAATTCCTGTGAGCATGGCAGCTGCAAAAGGTGACACCATAAGATGAGCACTACTGCTCTGAATCAGCAGTTTCTGACGCACATGTCGCCTTGCTCTTATCATCACGTATGAAGAGGTGGGCGGAAATGTAGAGAAATGTGTAGAGAAATGCATTATTTGTGGACAAATCCCAAAGGAGAGATTTTCTGTTAGAGGCTTTTTGTTTTGAACCCTATTCTTGGAATTAGTCATAAGCTGCTTCATTCCTGAATCCAGTATTAATAATTGCTTTTATAGGTAGGCACCGGAAACTGAAAGGTACTACAAATCAGAAACCACCAAAATTATCGTGTGTTTGATTTATGTTTCATTTCAGCTTCAATCAAAAGGAGTGAATTATGTGAATATTCTTCAAAACATACCTTGAAGATATTATATTTCATATCACTGATTTCCACAGTCTTACTGCCTTGGCTGTCTTTTTCTGTTTTATTTGTCATCAGTGTCTTAAATCTGTGGAAACAGGTAGAAGATTTTCACAGATTTTTTTTAAACTACATTTATTTAGATTTTTCTTCAGAAGTTAATGTGAAAACAGGATCCAGTGTTCTAAAATTCCCAACAGCATATGAGGCGGAAGGAAGAGGGTCAGAGTTGCTGCTCACCATCCAATCCCCAATACCAAACCTTAAACCGGACTTCAGTGATAAAATAAGAAGTAAATATCTAATTCCTCTGGGAAATGTTTAACTATAATTTTCCCTTCAGATCCATGGGAAAGTTGTGTGCTTTCTGGTGCCACAAATAATTGTATGCTCCCACCCAGAAGTGTGTTTTTGACAACAAAATGAGGATTTGCAGTTAATTTTCCCAGTGTAGGTCCAAAATTGTGCCTTGTTTTGGCCCACAATGACTCTCTATGTTTCTAGTTGAAACAATAATTAACATCTGGTCACTTCTGATATTTTTGGTGCCTATGAGAGGGGATAGGAGTCCAAGGTGGGGAGCCTTCTAGTGGGTCCCAGGTGGGAGGAAATGGTCAAAGTTTCACATTAGAAGGACTGCTTTGTGAGTCTGCATAGAAAATTTACGTGAAACTCTAAAATGTCCCACCCAATTCCACAAGGCTTAATCTTCAAATAACTCCCCAAAGATGCTGTAGGCATCATTTGCAGAGCATCTTACCTGTTGGAAGCTGTAACGAGGAGAACTTTATGTGCATAAAAGAGCTTTCCTTCCACTAGAAAAGTAACATCAGACATATCTTTGTTATTTAAAAAATGAGGATCTGTGTGGAAGAAAAAAAAGTTTAATGATGCTGCACATGAGGGGAACATGGCTGAAATCAAGATTCTCAAAGTCACAACTCATAGAAGGCTTGTCATCTTACCTAGTCGGGCTGGAAGTGTCTTTCTGATTTCAGGAATGGTGGGGATGGGGCTGCTTCCATAGCAGTGAGCAAAGATGGCTGCCAGCTGCTGATTGATAGAGTCGTTCTGTGAACATGAACAAATCAAGAATATCAGGAGTTTGGAAGACTTAGCCTCGTATAGGTTAAAGCAGTTAATTTTATTTCCTGTTCACAGTTCACAGAAGAGAGTGAACAAGATGTTAAAATGCAACTCTGCAAAGAGTACAAGATTCATGCAGAGGGATCATTTTTCAATCCATCCTTCTGAGAACCTCTTTTTGCTAAGAAAAATACATTATCCTGGAGCTTGCTGAGTTGGCTAGATTTATTTTCTGATGTATATGAGGATGTTCCTATATCAGGGAAACTCTAAAAGCAGTGTATACCTGGAAAGGACTGTACTCAGTCCAGAGGGTTTTTACATGTGAAACAAAGCCCCTATTTACTATGAAAATAATGGAGCTATTGAGGTGGGGTTTTTTTGTGGGGGTCTTTTTGCAAACTGAATTTTTAAAATTACATATGTACGTACATGGCTGAAAGGTGAAATATAAATATTTAAAATAAATTACTAATATTTATAGTTTAGAGTAAGCATGAATGAAATCCTTTCTTTTAAAGCAAACTCACTATACATGGTCTTGATTTTCATAAGAATGAGGATCTTTAGATTTGACAGCTTTTCTTTCTGGTTGTTGACAATGGCCAAAATCCTGTCCCTGGGTGTAAGCTAAATAGTAACGTTTGATCCATTTCTTCCTGGTAAAAAAACCCACCCCTGTTGAGATTCTTGGGTGTGTGTGTGTACACAGGCTGGTTTGGTGCATGTGTGCATCATAAGAATTGTGGTGGGGATGCTTTGTTTACCAGGAATGGACTGAAAGTTATGATTTGACTTGCATTAAACAACTGAATATTAGCCAACGTTGTATTAAACAAGCTTAAGTAAATACAGCCAATGTGATCCTTGCATCCAGAATTAATTGGGATTCTCATGCATGCTTTACAGTGGTTTTGTTTGAGCAAATAATGACTGTTTTCAATTAAAAAGTTTGGATTTCTACACCAAGTTATTAGGATCTGGGAAAGCTATCTTTTGTATCTCATAAATCCTCTGAGATGCAGGTAGTTTCAGGTTGTTACTTTCCCAAAAGTAACTTTTCCTATTCAGCCGAAGAGCATGTCCAAGTATAATTTTAGCATAGATTACTTTGCTGGTTCTGAGGATTTCAAACATAAGTTGCAGTCCATCGTGAACAAGCTCTTCATTGTATTCTTCTTCCTTAATGGTAACAAATTCCCGCAAGAGATTCTGCACCACCGAGTAACGTGACTGACAGAAAGTTGTCCGAAGTGACTCAATCCATACATGGAGCTTCCAGGGAATTCCTATGGCCATTTAAAGACAAAATTGAAAATGGATTTTTAATAGGAATATCTCTAGACGGTCATCAATAAAAATAAAGGTAGGAAAATAACAAACATCTTTTCTAGGCAAAATGAATGATTGGTTTGAATATTCTAAGGGTCTTCGGACAAACGCTGGCTGTATGGCTTGGAAACGGGGATGAGCACCGCCCCCTAGAGTCGAACACGACTGGACAAAAATTGTCAAGGGGAACCTTTACCTTTACCTACTAAGGGCTACCAAGCCAGCTCCCTCTAGAAATCTAATATGGTATGACACTGTTGGTCATCGGTGGCTGCTCCCAGTATCATTCTGAATCTATATATAAGAAGTGAGATTCCACTATCAGAATAAAAATCAGACAAGCTTATGATGGGATAGTAATTTAATATTCTTGACTCTTATTCTAAGATTCAAAAATCATAAGCACATGGAAAATTCCTATTGTGTAACTTTGTGCTGGCATAAATCAGACTGGGGTGCCAGGACACATTAATTTAAATTGACTTAAAGCTTCCTATTTCCACATTTCAGCTTCTAAGGCTCCGTAGGGAAGCCTTGGAGAGCGTCTGGACATTGGGAGTGGAGGGGGGGGGGAGACTTCAAAAGTAAAAAAATTGTCACAAATTAATCCTGGTGCCACAAAGTTACATAATAGAATTTTGTTCAATATAGCAGAACTTGAAATGATTCCACTATCAGAATAAAAATCATACAAGCTTATGATGGGATAGTAATTTAATATTCTTGACTCTTATTCTAAGATTCAAAAATCATAAGCACATGGAAAATTCCTATTGTGTAACTTTGTGCTGGCATAAATCAGACTGGGGTGCCAGAACACATTAATTTAAATTGACTTAAAAGCTTCCTGTTTCCACATTTCAGCTTCTGAGGCTCCGTAGGGAAGCCTTGGAGAGCTTCTGGACATTGGGAGTGGAGGGGGGGGGGACTTCAAAAGTAAAAAAATTGTCATAAATTAATCCTGGTGCCACAAAGTTACGTAATAGAATTTTGTTCAATATAACAGAACTTGAAATGTCTATGGCCTTCTTTTGATCACCACTTGTAAACTGACTGTTGGTGCTGTTGCTGAGTTGTTTCAACATTACTTATGCTATGATAATGTTTGAAACTCCTATACATGTGCCTAAGAATGCATGAATTAGTTGCCATGCTGGTCATAAATCCAACAATGAGTAGATGTCACCAACACTGTCCGCAATGATTAGGTCCATCATGAATATATAGGAAGACACTGATATTACCCCCGGAATATGAGAACATTAGTTGCCATGCTGGTCATAAATCCAACAGTGAGTAGATGTCACCAACACTGTCCGCAGTGATTAGGTCCATCATGAATATACTGTATAGGAAGACACTGATACTACCCCCGGAAGTGGGTATGAGAACAACACTAAGACTGAAAATCACACCTTGAAGATTACAGATGGAGAGGGCTTACTGCAGTGTCACACTGCATGTTTCTTGAACAATGTGGCTAGCATGCATGCCTCTCCTGGAAACCACCCTCCAACTAGATGATGTGTGGAATTCTTATGGATGCATCTACTGTACTGGGAGGGAAGATTTATTTAATTGATAATACTAATTTTCTGGCAATGCATTAAAATAAAAATTTTAGTCAGTAGAATAAAAGCTGGGGAGGGATAGATTAAACTCTTCTTTCCACAGAAAGAGCTATTTAAAATTCTGTATTGGACTAACTTAGCTGGTGGGGAAATCCCCTAAAGATACAGATACTGGCTATGTCTTTCAGGTAATACATAGTTTAAACCTAAGAATGATGCTGTAAAATAGACAGATAATCTACCTACTAATTCCCATAGATCTTGCAGGCTGAGGGATGTGTAAAACTATTGCCCATAGATCTTGCAGGCTGAGGGATGTGTACCCTTTTACCTATTGGACTCTAGTTCTCCTTGGTCTTAGTCACCAGGGCCAGTGAATGGGATGATGATAGTGCAACAACAAATAGGATGTTATGATTCTTCTAACCCTGCTATAGCTGAATTGGATAAACATTCAAGCCATGATATCTCACAGGTGGAGATGTGTTACACCACTATGTTTGCAGATCGTCACCAGGGCCAGTGAATGGGATGATGATAGTGCAACAACAAATAGGATGTTATGATTCTTCTAACCCTGCTATAGCTGAATTGGATAAACATTCAAGCCATGATATCTCACAAATGGAGAACAGATCTGTTACACCACTATGTTTGCAGATTTGGCCAAGTCATATCACACAGCTCTGATGGACAAATTCACCACTAAAGATCACAGACTTCTCTATTCACTAGTCTTTAATCAACACCAACATAGTATTTTTCTGCAGTTTGTTTAACTTGCCAATAAATGGAAAGCAGGTAATAGCTCCTATTTTTTTAAAACAGGGAAATCTGAAAAAAATTATGAACCACTTAGCAGGTCAATATCAGAGTCCACATATTCGTGCTCCCTTTCAATTTTACTTTTTATTATAATAACCAAACACAGTGAAAGGGCTTGTATAGCTTTAAGAGCTGCACAGGAGAGATAATTTTACTGTATGCAGTTTATCATGCAAAAGTAATAAAGCCTATCAAAACATCTGTTCTGCACAATCAAAGTACAGGGTCTTGATCTTCTTGTGCTTCTGACTAGAACCCTTTGCTTGATGTTTTCAATTTGACTGCAAAAGCCTGCAAATTTCTCATAGGATTAGGAATGGCCAAGTCTGTGATGGGACGGTAATTTAGTACTCTCGAATCTTATTCTAATGCTCAGAAATTCACTTTGCAAAGTCTTCAGCCTCTTTACTGAAGATAAAAGATTGGAGCTATCTACGGGTTTAAGGACTAATTTCATGGGACTTAAGAGGGTTCACAATAGGTGGCCCAGCAATTCTGAATAGTCAATCTTGATTTTAGAAATATCCTATTAATGCTAAAGCTAGATTTCCCCATGTATTTACTGCTAGGGTTTATATGATCAGTGAATTTCAGTTAATTTGTTCCAGCAATAATCTATTTCTCAGAGCAGAGAGTCATACAAATTTCATTATTAAATCAATGTATTAGAGTCCATTCTTCAGCTTTCCTAGATGGCTTTTTCCATGCATTCTCCATGGGATTAAATTACTGCCGCAATTAAATGTGTATGCAGTTTATCATGCAAAAGTAATAACGCCTATCAAAACATCTGTTCTGCACAATTAAAGTACAGGATCTTGAAACCCCACCCTCCACCATTATGCAGCAACCAGAATATGATAACATGACTGTATTTGAACAAATGTAGATTGTTGTACATGAAAAAAATAAAACATCCCCTGAAAATAAACCCTAATGCATTTTTGGAGCAAAAATTAATGTAAGACCCTGCCTTATTTTTGGAGAAACACAGTAATACAGTGAAATATTTTGCATGACTCAAATTGGGGACAGATGCAGAATGACTTATAAAGCCCCAGAATCAATATGCATTCATTTGCTGTGCCTTTAGAATAATATGCAAACAAATGCTGAAAGTAGAAAAACTGCAGGATAAAAGTTCTTTATTTTTTATTTCTGTGTGCAACTCTGGAAATAAAATATATTCCATGTAAGGAGAGTTCCCTTTATTGCTTCAGAAATTCTATCAACAATAAAGGTGTTCTAATAATTTTTTGGATACTCAGTGTGGTGTAGATAGACAATAGAATGATGGACTGGGACTCTGGAGACCAGGGTTCAAATCTCTGCTTAGACATGGAAACTCACTATGGGTATGGTAAAATCACCCTTTAAATATCTTACTTATTTTGAAAGCTCTGTTGGGGTTGTTATAAGTCAGTTCCAGCTTGGCAGCACATAACTTTTTTTTTTTAAAAAAATCTTGAATTGGGGTAGTGTGAAGCATAATTTTTTAGGAATGCTATTTTCTTTTGAGTATTACTAATTGCTGGATGGGGCAATTCAAACATATTAAAAACAAAACAGAAATTTTGCCATTTATTTGCTGCTTTATCTTAATTAATATGTAGGTGTCAGTCAGTGGTTAGAAAGTCTGATAAATAAATGGGATTTCAGCTATAAACTTCTAAAGACTCACAAGGGGGGGGCAGTATACAATAAAGAAGGGGAACGTGTGGCCAAAGGTGGTGGTACTGCACTTCCTGATCATGCTCAGGATTGGCTACATTAAGATAAGGCTGACCGGAGTCTGCTGGGTCAGCCATTTGCCAAAGATTCATTGCCTTTCCTGCTTGGATCCATTGTGAAAAATGGTGAGATGGATCCCAAGTCTCACCCAGCAGGACTCTTGCTGTTTTATTACCTACAGTATATATCTGTGTCATCAGGAGGTCAATAAATGCCATATTAAAAGTGATGGAAAGGTTTGTCAAGGTCATTGTTAGAGTTTACTCCAGGGTTGGGCCTGTGGGACCTATGTGGTCCCCCAAAAGCCGTTTTTGTGGGCTCTCAGTGCTCCCCAAAACAAAACAAAAAAAACTAGTTGTGGTTTCCCACCAAAATTCAGAGGCAAGCCACTAAATGGCCTGTTTACTTCCGTGAGGACACAATGTACAGAAAATATTTCCAGTGTCAATTAGAGATGGAAACCTCTAATTATAGTCAGTTATATCTTCCTTCTTTGGGTTTCTCTTCCTTTGTAAGTAATCATGCAATCTCTTCCCTGTTATTTAAACAGCCTTCACAAACTTTTGTTATTTAAACATTTCCTGCTGCTGCTTCTTCCACAGTAACCGATTTAAAGTGCATGGTTCTCAAAACTGATTAACATTTCTGCTATAATGAATTAAATGCAATCTTTAATTAATTTTCAGTATTTTTAAATTCAGACTGAGTGGGTTTTGGAGGAAATTATGAAATACTCTTGAAGTAAATTTAATTGGGACTACTATTCATATTAATAAAGTTCATAGAAAAATATAAAAGAGGATGTATATGTAAAATACATGAATACCCTCTTTCCCTGAAAATAAGACCTAACCTGAAAATAAGCCCTTTTTTGCTTTTAATATAAGCCCTACCTCAAAAATAAGCCCTAATTAAGTGAAACCCCACCCTCCACCCTTGTGCAGCATTGTGCAGCAACCAGAAAAAGATGACATGATTGTAAAATAAAACATCCCCTGAAAATAAGCCCTAATGTGTTTTTTGGAGCAAAAATTAATATAAGACCGTATCTTATTTTCGGGGAAACATGGTACTGTATATGTATGCACATTTATAATAAAATATACAACACAAAAGAAGAAACTACTACGCTCTACTAAACCTTCCCCGTTTCTTTAGACTATACCCCCTTTTGGGTGTGGGTCCCTCAAATCACTGGCCAAGTGAAAAATGGCTTCCAACATCAGGGAAGTTCTCCTTTGCTATCATTTTATTCTGATCTTGGTGTCAGAGACTGCACAGCAGAGGCTATCACTAGGGAATAGCTTGATTTCTATATTATAGTTTTAGTTATATACATCTGCCAATCACTCTCTGGGAGAGCAAGTCTTGTCAGAAGGTCCATTATATTTAACCAATTTTGAGTCAGATGTGCATGCAATGAGGCTCCATAGCAGCATGGAAATGGATATTTCTGAAGTTGGTTGAAAATATATTAATCTTTTCCCCCCTTTTAAATACAGGACTGATTATAGACAAGTGATTGTGGGAAAGCTGCTGTATCTTCAAATGGTTAACTATAAGCCAACCTTTAGTATTAAAAAGCTGCCCTTACCAAGTGCTCTAAGCTCCATCGTGATGTCAACATAACCGTGCTCAGCGCTGTAATACATGGCCTCCTGTAAAGCCTTCATCCTGGTTTTACACAACTTAACTTGGCCTTCATTGGCACTTCCTTGGCTGGAGGTGTCATTTTCCACACCCTCTGCTAAAATCTCTTCCAGTGACAGAACATCTCCCTTGGACTGCTGTGGTTGTGTGAGGAGCTTCCGCAGAACATTTCTACACAGATAAAGAAAGACCAGCATTCCATTAATACACCCTGTATTTCTGGAAAACGTGAGCTTCTTTGTTCTGATAGTATGGCTTAGTAGATGTTTCTGTTTGCCAAAATCATTCTGAAGATGGCAAGTTCCCTTTCTTTGAACTTGGAGACACCCATGTAACCGATTTAAAAGTAGTTCATGAACGTTAAATAAGAAACCACTTAATTAAAGTTAAAATATTTTGGTGGACTTCATAACATTTAATTGTTACATTGACTATGAATAATGAGCAAGTAACCTGCTTATTTTGTGGTTTTTAATAAATTAAAACTCTAAAAAAGAAAATTCCAAGTCCTCAAAATCACCTGTAAAAACAATGAATTATAATAAAATTTAATGTTTATTCAGTACTCGCTTTGTTAAAACAGTAGTTGTAAACAAGGTGTAAATGGGAACTTTGTAAACTGCAAACTGGCTGGATAGCTCGGTGGTTAAGGTATCTGGTTGCAGAGCCAGAGGCTGGGCGTCTGATTCCCCATTGTGCCTCCTGTGAGCCCAACCACCCTCAGCGGTCACGGGCAAGCAGCACAGTCTTGGTCCCAGAAGAAGGGAATGCTAAACCACTTCCGTGTATACCTAGGAAGCCATGGAAAGGGCTGTCTCAAGTCAGAATTGATTTGAAGGGACACGATTATTATGATTATCAAATCACAATGAAATTTTAATGAATTAGGAAAAACTAATTAATTTTTAACCAACTATTGGTGTGCTCTGGTCTTTCTGCATCAGCAAAAGAGAGATAAGAGAATTCAAGCACATGAACTGCTTGAAGTGTTTGCAAGCTTTGTTACAGATATGCTAGTTTATCATGCCCATAAAATGGCTGCAAATTTGCAGGCCCCCAAGTGATGTCCCCTTCTTTCTTCAAAGGGGCAAAAGGAGCAGTTTATCTCATGGTAAAATACTTCACGGATTGCTGCCTTGTCATGGTGAAGGGGCTTGAGTAATTCAGAGAAACTATGGGCTATGCCGTGCAGGGACACCCAAGATGGACAGGTCATAGTGGAGAGTTCTGACTAAACCCAATCCACCTGGAGCAGGAACTAAAATGGACACCATGGTAAAATACTTCACGGATTGCTGCCTTGTCATGGTGAAGGGGCTTGAGTAATTCAGAGAAACTATGGGCTATGCCGTGCAGGGACACCCAAGATGGACAGGTCATAGTGGAGAGTTCTGACTAAACCCAATCCACCTGGAGCAGGAACTAAAATGGACACGAACTGGGTGAATTCAATTCAGATGATTATCATATCTACTATTGTGGGCAAGAATCCTGTAGAAGAAATACCAACCACCGATGCTGAAGAGGTTGAAATTGACCACTTCTATGAAGACTTACAAGACCTTCTAGAACTGACACCAAAGAAAGATGTTCTTGTCATTATAGGGGACTGGAATGTTAAGTAGGGAGTCAAGACATAAAAGGAACAACAGGTAAGTTTGGCTTTGGAGTTCAAAACAAAGCAGGACAAAGGCTAATAGAGATTTGTCAAGAGAACAAGCTGGTCATCACAAACACTCTTTTTCAACAACAC